ATATACGTTGCAATGTACTAGAGTCGATAAGAAAAATACTGTCGAAGGTTAGAAATATGATTATATGAATATTATTATTGGCAGATACAGCCACATGTTTCCTTGCCACCTTCTCTGTCCTCCTCTGAAGTGTTTCTCTCCCACAGCGGGACACACTGTGGTAGAAACACTCTGCCTAAGAAGGGACTCAGGTACAAACTCCACTTCCTGCTGGAACATGTTGCGCTCTTGCTCACTGGTTCAAATTGTCGTCTTTCTTTTCTTTTTCTGCATCTACATTCTTGTCACACGCTTTTTAAACATGCTTCCTTTGTTGCGGTGTTGTGTTGTGCTTCTGTGAGGAGACGTCACGTTGTCACTGTGTAACGCTGTAGCCTGATGTCGGGGGTCAAATATTCTTTGGCTTCTTCCTTGTGCTTCTTCCCTCAGTTTCTGTCGCTCTCAGCTGAGAATCAGTCTGTGTTGTTGTTTCTGTTTCCAGCGTCTGATTCATCTGATCCTGGCACTAATCTGGCTGCTTGACAGAAAAGAAATCACCTCAATCATTGTGAAAAGTCAAAAAAGAGAAAAAAATCTGAATTCTGAATCAATTTGCTTTGTGTAAAACCACATAATCCACAATGCACCTGTTAGGTTTTGTATCCTCGCCTCCACTCTGACCTCTTCTTTGACCACTTCCAGGTACGGCCCCACCCCGCAGCTGCGAAGCCACGAGGAGGCCCGTGATTGGCTGCGCTCCCACTCCACCAGCGGGCTGCAGGACTCAGTCGGTAACTCCCCGTTCTCCCCCGGCTCCAGCATCACCTCCCCCTCCGGCACTCGCTTCAACTTCGGACAGCTCGGTATGTACTGCACAATCATTTACCCAGGATTCATTTCTTCTACAAAACGTCACTGAATCAAATACATTATTATCAATCTGATTGTTGGTTTTAGTTCCATAAAGCTGAGGAGGAGGCAGGTTCTGAAATGAACAATTACCATACTCATTGAATTTAACATTTGAGGTTCCATGTCCCTGGAGGATGCAGGATTTATAACTGATACTGTAGCCTGCCACCAGGGGGCGATTAGTGTATTTTAGCTGTTGTGTCACTTGATGTTTGTTTCTGTTTTATATCATTAGATATTTTAGAAGATTTTCCCTCAGACTTGTGATGTCTTCTTTTCTCACATTTATACATAATCTACTAGTATATAACCCTTAATACAATTTCCTGTTTCACTTTATCACAGCATCCAGCCCGACCTCAGCAGCTCAGATCAACATCGCCGGTCTGCGCAACAACAGCCTGACCAATCAGGACGTCGCCTTCGACCCCTGCGCAGACAACCGGCTGAGAAACTCCTGCATGTCTCTGGATGAGAAGACTCGCACCATGAGCCGCTCGGGCTCCTTCAGGGACGGCTTCGAGGAAGGTAAGAGGAGACACAACACTCAGAGTTGTATCCAGTGACTCTTTGTGAATCCATGTTAACTTCAGCCATGAGGTGAAATCTGTAATTAGGTTTAATCCTTCTCCGAGACCTGCTCTGCCCCCGTCTCTCTCTCTCTGACTCTGAAGCCTCCCCTTCCTTTATTCCACATCCCCACGCTAAAGGAATTATGATTCCATTTGTTTAGAGAACATTAAGACGGATTACAACTGCTCCTCTAGGAAAAGCCCCGTATTCCTTTAGAAATCCATAATCAGCTTTGGCTGTGGCTTTTTTTTTTTCAATAAGCTCATTTATTGGGAAAAATACCCAGGAGTGCTTTTCCCACCAGCAGGAAGACGCCCGGCTCAGTTCATCGCCTCCACCGCTCAATCCTCAGAGTCACAGAAACACAACGTTTGATTTATACGACTAAAAGACAGAGGGGGGGGGGTATGTGCTGTCGTACAGTGCTGTATAGCATTTTTCTTTGTTAGAAAGTTCTTAACAGAAATAAACTACAATTGCAAATTAGAAATGCTTCAAGATTCACAAATAATTATCTGAGAAATCATCGATAATGTTGAAAAACATCTTGCACAAAAAAAAAATCCTGGACACGTCCCTGATGTGGATCCACACCAACATTTAATACGTTCTTCTCTGACACATCGTTCCACCAAGTTTCATGGTAATCAAGCAGTTTTTGTGTAATTCTGCATCAGACAAGTGTAGATGAAAACATAACGTTAGCGGTGGAGGGTAAAACGGAACAGCAGGAACAGCAGTGTTCATAAAACAGATGAAAAGTTACACAGAAAAATAAAACATGACATATATCAAATATTCATCAAAGATTTGTGATGAAAACAATATAAAAGTTGGCAGTGAAGTTTAATTTCAGCAAGCCAACATATCAACATGAAACCACATCATAATGCAGCCACAACGTCTCATCCTGTGTAGTCTACAGACGAATGCAAAAAGTTTTCTTTCAAGATTGTCAAAGTAATTCAGACGCTGTGGACAGCGTAAATGGATCCAGTTAGTTTTTGTCCTGCAGAGCTGAAGACAAACAAATGTGAATGAATGAAATCCAGTGACACTGACACTGGTTCTGTGAAGGAGCCTGAGGGGAATCAGCTGTGAGTCTGTTCTGAAAGAAACCTGGAACATCTGCGTTTTCTTCAACCTTCAGTCTGAACAGATGTGAACGTGATTCTAAACATCACTGTTTGAGGTTTGTGTTTTAAAGTCACGGCTTAAAAACAACTTTCATATTCTGAAAACCAGCAAATATACTAATGACTGAAATATTTATTTTGGAAAAATACTTTTTGTCTGTAGAGCTTTGAAGCGTTTAAACAGATGTACAGGCAGAACACGCACAATAAAACAGACTCCGACTTATCATTATCACCCCCCCCCCTCCACTATCTCTCCCCTCCACAGTAGCAGTTATATCCGCCCCCCCTTCCCTTTCAGTTGAAGAGATAATTACAGGACTCACACTGAGAGGCGTGAGAGAGGGGAGGACACACAAGAAACCTCCGAACATGACTTTCTCTCTGTCTGTGTGTGTGTGTGTGTGAGTGTGAGTGTGAGTGTAGGGTTACTGGGTCGTTGTGAGATTGACAGGACAAAAGTCACATCATCCACCCGACACTTTGTCAGACCTGTCCTGATGGAGAGCTACACCACCTCACACTGTCACTTCATACCCTCCCCACAGACCCTCCTCTTGTAGAATCTCTGTCTCCTGATTTATTTAGACAAATAAAAGTGAAAGACAGATTCACTCCACCTCAAAATGAGCAGTGTTTAGATTTTCTATCACTGTCTTGTTCCCGTTCTCTGCACGGTCAGCAGGGTGGAAGTCTGCAGAGATCTTTGTTCTGCACAAAGACGGTGATTAAAGACGGAGGGAAGACAAAATGTTGCCAAAATATCCTAGATACTGGTGCTGACGTCATTTGGGGTCAGAAGTCACACCCACACAAGTAGTTAACCAATCCTAAATCAGTCTCAGCTGTCAATCATGAGGTTTGACTTTGTTTTTATATCATCAAATAACTAATTCAAACCAAAGTTATCAGAAACATTAAGACTTGAACAAACATCAGTGTGATAAAAAAAAACTAAAATGACAGAAACCATCTTTGTTCCAAATCTCTTTGACGTGTTTTTTTTAAAAAATCGAAATCTGTTCTTGTCATGCAGAACTTGTCAGTGTTGAACTTGTTTTTCAAAACGTTAAACAAAGCGTAGGAAAGAACAGATTCTGGATTGAAACACAAATGCACATGTTGCATCAATTAAAACAACTGGAAAAAACGAACTGCTGCTAATTAACTAACAACAATTTATATAAAAACATAAACTCCTGGGTGGGGGTAAATATTATAGAGCTTAAAATTCACTCTAGAAAGAAATTCCCTCCCTTTCAGAATCATATTCCTAACGAGTGTTTTGATTACAGATTCAATAGTTTTTTCCAAACCAATAAATTCCCTTTACTGGTTCATATAACAGAGAAAAGCTGCAGAAACAAGCAGGAACCAGAGAATATTTGTCATTTTTTGCTTGATAAGAAAGTTGCCTGTTGGTTTTCAGTCAGTTAAGGGAGTGATTGTTCCGGGTCTGGTCATTGCATCACATGTGACCTGCACACGCTGATTTATGAGATCCAGTGAATTCTCCTTTTCATGTGGCTCCCAGCGCTCGGTCAGTTTTCTCTGAGGTGAATGAGTGAATGTGCTGAGATCAGCCCGGCCCCCTCGGTGCGGTCGATGACTTCACGCCCCTGATCTGCTCTGATCTGCTCCCAGGCTGGAGCACAGAGCTGCCGTTGTGTCCCGGCCTCTGATGTGTGATTAGCGGCTGAGTCATTAGCGGGGGTAATTCTCAGGCTGCCAGTCGTTGCGCCACAATCCGACTGTAACGTGTAGGAGTTTTATCTTCTATGAGCGCAGAGCTGCAGCCATTGTTCTGGGGGACGTGGGAGGTTTGTGTGTGTGTGTGTGTGTGTGTGTGTGTGTGTGTGTGTGTGTGTGTGGTGGTGGGGGGGGGCTGTTTTACTTGGAGATGACCTTACTAATCTTGTCTCTGTGATGTTTGTCTCCTCAGTTCATGGATCATCTCTGTCTCTGGTCTCCAGCACCTCCTCCATTTACTCCACGGTGAGTTCATTTACTTTGAATTTAAGTTGTTTTCCTTGTTTTTATATAGTTTGTCCACAACAGAACCGCAGCGTCCAGTGTTCGATTCCAGCTGTTTCTTTCTCTCCCATTGTTTCCTGTCTGAGACAGGAGAAATATACAACCAGGAAATAGATATAAAACACAACAAGGGGCCGTGAAAAACAACAGAAGAATAACACAAGAATAAGTTGTGTAGGAAACAGCCTGTAGCAACACTTTTTAAATCATTTTAAACCATCTTAGCTGAGGAATGAGAAGTTCAGGTCACCTACATGTAGCTGCAGAATCCGTTTAAACACCAGAGGAGCCGGTTTCTGCTCCAGCCTGTGGAATCATGAAATATCGAGTAACTGAGTTGGCAAATACGCTGCGTTGCACATTTACTTCCTAATCCATCCTGGGATCTGACTCAAACACCTTGTGAGAAAAAAGGTGGGACTGCAGCTCACAAGCGTGCAGATGCAGCCAGTCAGAGCGCCGCATCTCACAGCGTAGCTCCTCCCTCTGAGAGCTGGATCACTCACCTGTGCAGGTGAAGCTGAGAAACTCTCAGACACCGGATCCCCGCTCAGGCACAGAGTCAGAGAGGTTTGAAATCAGAGCGGTGAAGAGAGCGGAGGCAAAATGATGGCGACTTTATCCCTGACAGGCACCATCACGTCCTGGCAACAAACGGTAGGGGTGGGGGTGGGGAGGGGGGAGAAGAGGACTGGAGGCTGAAATACCTCATTCTGTCTTTTGTGCTGTGTTTGAGGAAATTCAGCTGGAAGTCAAAGGTGTAATACTTTTGTATGTCTCCGTTTGTTTTGGATGAGGGAAAGGTGACATCTTTCATATGTTTCTATATTTCATGTATCTTTTTTATCTTCCTTACTCTTAATCATTCTATGTTACTTGTATACTTGCTGCTCTAACACTGCACATTTTCCGATTGTGGGACTAATAAAGGACTTCCTCTTAATCTTAATGTTGGGAAATTCCACATCAACACAATGAAAACTAAATGTGCTGCTAGAAATCTTCCAGGACCGCTTGCATCAGATCTCTGTGTTTTGTCTGCGTGTCAGACCGGCTGCTCTGTTTGTGTTGGATCAGTTGCTGTGTTTGGGTGTGTAGTGGACCATGTGTGTACAGATGACACATCAGCACATGTGCTGTAACGCTCGGAAACATTACATGTGTTGAAACTTGTTTTGATTAACGGTTGTCGGGTGGAACCACAGGAAAAATCATTAATTAACACGCCTCGTTGCTTCTGTCACAACATAAGTGCTGCGTGCACGCGTCCACTGATCATTGACAGACGGGAATTCACTTCCTCCTCGTCAACAATCCTGCAGAAACCGGACAATGCAGATGTTCAGAGTTAAAATATTCAAAAATTGTGTTATCTCACAATTTATTTATGTCCCATTTGTTTGTTTCAAGTTCCAGATGTCCTGCAAATAAGGACAGAAAACATAACCTCTTTGGTTTGAAAGTGGATATGAAAAGCCTTGTTGTTAATAATCATCGACTGACGTCTCACTAAAGACAAACAAGCTGTTCAAGCTGTTTACATATAAATGTGGGTGTTGCATGTTCCTGTGTTTTGTTGGTCAGAGGCAGCAGGGCGTGTTGGGTTCGTGCGAGCGTTTGTTTTGCGTCCTCTCTCTCTCTGTGTATTTGTCCTGCCCGTCGTTTTTAGCTATTGTCCCGAGCACAGTCGGCGAGGACAATGGCGACTCACACACTCGGCGAAATGCCTTCAGGAGGACATATCTGCTTTCCAGACTTATTACACCAGACGATCTCCTCCACAGTTTATAAAAGCTCGTCTCCTTGCAGCTAATAAATCAAACGGGAGTCGGGGCATGTGCGGCCTGACCTCCAGCAGCTTGACCTGCTCTTCACGTTCAGCGCAGCGTGTCACACGTCACTAATGATTTTCTCTCCCTCTCTCGTTTGTTTTTACAGAACGAGGAGAAGTCTCAGTCGGAGGTAAGAGTCAACACCTCTTTCACTTTCTGTGTGCAGAGGCTGCTTGTTGGAACACGGGTTGTTGTCACGCTTGTATCTAGTTTCACGTGTAACTGTGTGACTGACCCTGTGACGGGCTCTGGTTCCTGTCTGAACACCTGTGTGCACCTGAACCTCCTCTTTTATGCGTCTGCTGTGTTTCATCTCTTCCCCTGAACGTATCGCAGCTCGAATCTGGGAGCCTCCCTCGCTTGTTGCTACACTATTTTTGTCATTGTGTGTGTCTGTGTGTGTGTGTGTGGTATTGGCTGCTTTTATAGAGCAGTTATTTTTTGCTTTTGTCTCGGTGCTTTTTGATGTCATGCCTTTTTGCTTTTACGTCTTTAGATCCGCAAGCTGCGCCGAGAGCTGGATGCCTCCCAGGAGAAGGTTTCCGCCCTGACGACACAGCTGAGCGCCAACGTAAGTGAACAAGTACACAAACACACATAAACACATACCCCTAAGCTATCTTATTCAACTTCTATAATGCCTATACTGTCTCCTTCCAGGGTTCATCGAGTTTAATCACTTACATAGCCAATAAAAAACTTATTTCATGTTTTTAACAACAACAAATTTGACTTTGAATAACATTTTATCAGCGTGATACACAATGATGTGTGAGCAATTTGTGATAGGAACATTTGTCTGGAACTTAAATGTATTTTCTTTTTCAACCAATCACTCAATGAAGTGTTATTTGTATAGCCCATATTCACAAATCATAGTTCTTAACCCTCAACAACAGTAAAACTACCAAAAAACCCTATCAACAGGAAAAAAACCTCAGAGAGCCACACGTGAGAATCCCCGTCCCAGGACGGACAGAAGTACAATAGATGCCCCGTGTAATACATCAACGAAATAACAATATTCTCTACAATGATTAGAAAAAACTGTTTGTAGCATAACTGAGAAGAATGTTTAAAGTATTTATACGTAAGAAAATGTCTGATGGAGATGAAGGGAGCAGCAATGACAAATGAACTGAGGAGTTATTGACAGTAATGGTAGAATATGTTGTTCTGCTGGAAGTGAACAGTACAGCTGTTATAAATATATAAATATAGATAGCCTTAAAATAATCCGAGAACATCAACATTTCATAAGCGTTGGAGTTTTTTTACCTGATGTAAAAACATTGTGATGTTTGACGTCTCTCACAGACACATAAACAAAATTCCCAAATATCCATCAGATACTGAACTGATCTCTTGAAGAGCACTCCACCCACAGAAGGTGTAATTTCACATCTGGCAGAACCATCAGAAAATCTCTCTCAGTGTCTCCAGACACGATTCTTGTCTGGAGTCTCTCCCCGCTCCGCTTGTAATCTGCCACCTGAGTCAATTTAACTGAGGATTAAAGATACGGAAGGAAGGTGTTGGATTACAGCGTCCCAGATGTGGACTGAGGATTTACAAGAAAGGCGCGGTGTTCGTGTTGACAGAAAAACGCACATCGAGAACAGTGGCGGTGACGGTGGGAGGTCAGGGGATGGGATGTGGTGGGTGGGGGAGGGGCTTTGTTTAAATATTTGATTACAAGCCGCAGAAAAGATGATGAATTACCTGAACGCACCTCCGAGGCCCCGCAGGCCGAGAACCTAAGAACATGTTCGACGAGTTGAAACACACTTCAGTCACCACCTCGTGTATCGCACACACACACACACACACACACACACATACACACACACACACACACACACACACACACACACACACACACATACACATTCCTCTGACATGTGATATGTTTATTTTAAACCTGCTCATTTTTATTGATCCAATCAACCTGACCAGAAGTAAATCATGTTGTGTTCCTCACTTTGTCAGAAGGTTGATGTGTTTCTCTCGCGTGTGCGACTGTAGGAGCCTAAATGCAGTTTATTTGATATTTGGATGATTATTGTGCAATGGAGAAGATTATTATCTAAAATACATCTTTACATTTATTTAGGAGAAATTAAATTTTTTGTGTTCATGGTGCAGTTGGAAATGAGTTTAAGACCTGACAATGTGAAGTGCCTTGAGATAATGTTAATGTTAAATGGTGCTGTACAAATAAAACCGAATTTGATCTGGTTCTCCCGGCTCTATGCTACGTTGCGCATCCTGACCTTCTGTGTGTTTCTGCAGGCTCACCTGGTGGCAGCGTTTGAACAGAGTCTGGGCAACATGACCATCAGACTGAAGAGTCTCACCTTGACGGCAGAGCAGAAGGTGAGACAAAGCTCCTGCGGTTTTATAAACTGACTGTGACGTTAATC